AGCGGCACAAAATCTGAAAAGAACAAGTTTTCTGGCATTCTGTCCAAGTTTGAAAGATCCGCCAAGTTGAAGGAGGCAGCCAAGGCGAAGAATGACAGTACGGATAACGGGACACCCACAGGACCGCTTACCGCAGAACCCGTCGTTGCACAGGGCTTAGAGCCTCTTCCACAACCTGAACAAATTACGGAAGAAACTGAGAAGCCAAGCTATTCATCTCTCCCTGCCTGGTTGGCCAATCCCGTTAGAGAGTCGGCAAGCAAACGCGCCAGGTTTTCGGAATTAGGGATCGAGTCAAATCTTCTTCGCCTGCTCGAAGACCATGGATACAAGGAAGCTTTTGCAGTACAATCCACGGTTATCCCACTGCTTCTGCAAGGCTCCAGGAGACACCCGGGTGATCTTTGTATATCAGCCGCTACAGGATCGGGAAAGACATTGTCTTATGTACTGCCTTTGGTCACCGCGCTGAAACCGACACCGGCACCCAGAATGAGAGGTCTGATTGTAGTGCCCACAAGAGAGTTGGTGAAACAAGCCAGAGAAGCCTGTGAGCTATGCGCTACTGGCTCTGGACTTCGTATCGGTTCTGCTGTGGGAAACGTGGCGATCAAGGACGAACAGCGCACACTGATGCGCGTTGACCAATGCTATGGACCTGAACTTTCCAAGCAAAGGCAGACTATCGATCTCACTGGAGAAGATTGGACGAATTTTAATCTCTTGAACTATATTGGAGAGGCGGGAGACTTGAGCGAGTCGTTGCCAGGCTACGTTCAGAGGGCGGAGCCGAACATTGATATCTTGATCTGTACTCCGGGTCGTCTCGTTGACCATCTCCGTTACACCAAGGGTTTCACTTTGGAGCATCTTGAATGGCTGGTCATTGATGAAGCAGATCGGCTTCTGAACGAGAGCTTTCAAGAATGGGTTGATGTTGTGATGAACTCCCTAGATGCCCGCAAGGATCCCAAGACCTTCGGCTCCAGTGGTAAATTTATGGCTCAGCTCGGGCTTCCGATCCAAAGCAGAGAACCCCGGAAGGTTATTCTCAGCGCCACAATGACGAGGGATATCTCCAAGTTGAATTCTCTCCGACTGGCAAATCCGAAGCTGGTGATTGTTGGTTCGGCAGAGCCTACTCCAACCGAAGAAGCAGAGCACGATGGCGTCCCTACAACGACCGATGAACAATTCACTCTGCCCTCGACGTTGAAAGAGTACTCGGTATCGGTCGGCGATGGTTCGCAAAAGCCGCTTTACCTCCTTCAGCTGTTACAGTCTCATATCAACCTGGACATACAAAATCAACGCTCTGTCGAGCGTTTCTCGAGATCTTCAGATACAGAGGAGTCAAGTTCAGACGATACGAGCTCTGATGAGTCGGACTCTGATGATACCAGCTCGGACAACACGAGCTCTGACGATTCCAGCTCAGATGATTCCAGCTCAGATGAATCGGATTCAGACTCAGAAGACGATAGCTCATCAAGCGACGAATCGGAGTCATCGTCTGACGTATCCATGTCATCTGAAAGTGACGAAAAGGAAAAGCATATCTCTCATCGTGGACCTGCTAGAAAAACAGTTCTCATTTTCACCAAGTCATCTGAATCCGCATCACGTCTTTCTCGCCTGATTTCACTTCTTGAACCGTCGCTGGCAAACCGCGTCGGGACGATTATCAAGTCCAATAAATCATCAGCCTCTCGGAAAACGCTCACTGCCTACCGACGCGGCAAGATCTCCGTTATCGTCGCTACTGATCGTGCTTCTCGTGGTCTCGATCTAGAGTCGTTGACTCACGTCGTCAATTACGACGTTCCTCCCAGTGTTACGACGTACGTCCATCGTGTTGGACGTACGGCCAGAGCAGGCAAGGACGGCTCGGCCTGGACGCTTGTTGCACACCGCGAGGGCCGCTGGTTTGTCAACGAGATTTCCAAGGGCTCGGATGGCAAGATTACGCGATCTACCAAGGTCGAGAGGGTGAATGTGAAGCTGAATACCTCAGCCGAGATCAAGTCGAGATACGCCGCTGCACTGGATGCCCTTGAGAAGGAGGTAAAAACGGGCGGGAGTCAAACTACAAAGCCCAGAGCTTAAGGCTTAGAGCATATAGCAAGCCTGTGGAGCATTTGAGGCGTAAAGCATATGTAAATAGCTAATTAAAACGAGCTGCATCCGAATTTCAATCAGAACCCTTTCATACTTGCTCGACCTGGGATTGAACAACTTTGCAAGACGGACTAACTATCCCGAAATCATTAGGTACAGGAGAGGGCTATGTCCCATCATGACTTCCCTATCAATTAGACAGCAAAAAAGAGCTGACCCAGCGCTTGTTCCCTTGCTTCCCCCGCAGAGGTGGTGAAAAGAAATATGTCGTCCAAAACTCCGTGTCCGCTTCCTCTTTGGCCGTTTAGCGCATCCTCTAGAAGAGGACCATGCGCGTAGACATTCTAAAGACTTGCCGTAACTACGTTTGTGGCAGTATGCCCTTTCTGCGTTGCTTTCCCCAAGCTCATACCCACCTCGACATCAACCATGATCTGCTGATGGCTCAACTTCTCCAAATCCTCGTCGAATCGAATCCGATCTCTCTCAAAAGCCACTAGGATACTTGAGCCGCCAAATTGGAAAAGCCCGATTTCATCGCCTTTCTTCACATGATGGCCCGCAGTCATCATTTCCTCATTGAACCTACATGCCATGTCAGTTGTCCCGTTTGACTTGCCTTTGGCAGAAAAAATACTCACTCTACGGTCCCGACATCGGTAGCACCGATAGCCACGAAGAGGACAAGCCCAAAGTCCTCCGTCTCGATGCACACACAGCACCGCGCATTCTCCGTCAGGATGTTGACAGAACTCTGCAGCGCCACGGGATCAACCTGGAAGTAATCCCCGGGAATCTGCTTAAACCACTTCACCTTGCCCTCAACAGGGGAATGGTACCGGTGGTAATCCTGGGGACTCAGACGGAAGCTTGCGACCGCACCGTTCTCCCACGCCTTTGCGCGGTCCTTGTCTTTGATGAGGTTGGCAATGGTGAACTCGGAACCCTTGATCCAGAGCCTGCGGGTATCTTCGACGGTTGGGTAGACGACGACTCGTGAGTCGGCAACGACGATGGCCTTTGTGGGGTCGTTCGGCGCATGGATTGGTCGTGCGCCGGGGGCGTGCTTCCGCACGAAAAAGTCCTCGAATGTCTCGTATTTCTCCGGATCGGATGGGTCGAACTTGGACATGTCGATTTGGTAGAAGTCGATAAAGGATTTTATCTGGTTGTGGGATTGGGGTTTCCCTTCTCTGCGCCCTTTAGTACAGTCAGTGGTCGCATAACTTAATGCTCCAAGGACGATAACGAACCAGCAGCCAGGTTCTTCTCGTGCGTATACATCCGGATGAGATGAGTCTGATCAATCCACTCTGTCAACGGGTTGAAGAGTAGTAACAGCTTGAACTTCTTCCATAATGCTTGCTTCTCGCGCTTGTATTCGCCGGTCTTGCGGTCGACTGTCAGCCAGCCAACTTCGCGATTCTGTATGAGCTTGGTGAAGGCGAAGGCCTGGTCCACCAGCTGGTGGATGTAGTCGAAGATGCCAGACATTGGAACGTCCTTTTTGTGGAATGAATGTCGGATATTCTCATGTGAGCTGTTTTGGCGAAGCGCATAACTCTTTGATATCTACCTCTATACCAAATATTTGTCTTGCCAATGTTTGGTGTGATGTCATCACGATGTCAGATCGCCTTCAGCCAGTTGACGATTCATTATTTCCTACAGCGGTGCCACGTGATATCACTGCACCTTGCCAGTTCTAGATTTGAGGATCCATGGGTGCAATAATAATGGCCAAATCATGATATCCATACAATGTTAAACAAGCCATGAGTTACAATATCCACCTCCGTCACCCACGGAAGTGGTGTGGGAGCACCTGGCACAGATACTATATTACTCACATTTAACCCCCATATCGTACTAACCCAGAAGCAGTAAAGCGTTGGCGGATAAGGATTTCCCGAGATTCCACCAGAAGCTTAGTTGCAGCGTTCCCCTACCGCGATGATCCATTACCTCTGCGGCAATGATGGGTCTTTCCTGCTGCTCTTTGCTAGCTACAGCTTCCTACAGCCTTTCGTTATAGGCTAAATGGACTACCTGGAAACAGTGAAAAGAGAGTTTGGCAGTTTGTGGATCTCCTTGGCTGTCGTAGCTCGATAGCTGTAATATTGACAGTGGGTCAACTGCAACGAGACGGTGATGATAATCATGCCATTGTGGTTGCATTAATAATGCTCAATCTTCGTCTCCAGCCTTTCAGCCTGAAAGCTTAAGCTGTAAGTTGGGCTTTGCCGTTCACTGCACCCGGGAATTCTCTGCGTTGGCAGTAAGACGTAGTCTGCAGAATATAAGGCCTCGACTCTGCTGTCTACCGAATATCACAAGTCAGCTTGACACACGGTACTTGCTCATTCAATCGAGATACATGCTGATTTGAGCATTTACAATCACAGAATTGTTCCCCCGCATATGATTTTGTCGCAGTGCTCTCTAGGCACAAGTCCACCGGTCTCATTGAAGCAGTTCCATAGGAACAAACGGAGAATGGCACGGACTCTAGGAGACACAATTGACATCATCATTCAGGTATAAAGTCAATTCAGCCTAAATTGTGAGTGTGAATCGGTCAACTTGTTGTTCATTCTCTCATGTCGGACAGTCGGAGAATCTCCGCGCTCCGCTCTTTGCTCAGGATCGGCTGTGGGACCTGCTGGATTCGGGCTTCCGCATGTGGGGGAAGTCGGGGAAACAAGTCCAGACGCTAGGGACTCCTCCTCCACAGCATAGATAGAGTACGGATGCCGACTAGGTGGGAGGACATACAGAATCCTTTCTGCCGGTGTTGCCGAAGCCTACTATAAATTCAGCAGTTCATCTGCCGCCTCCATAATGCAGGAGATCAACTTCCAAGTCTCGTGGATGCTCGCAACATGTCGGCTGCCAAATCTATTGCTGCCGTGCTGGTAGCTCTGTTGCCTTGTGCGCTCGCTCAGGCGAACACAAGCTATGTTGATTACAATGTGGAGGCGAATCCTGATCTGACCCCTCAGACGGTCGCTAAAATCGACCTGTCCTTTCCCGACTGCGAGAATGGACCGCTCAGCAAGACACTAGTTTGCGACGCGTCTGCTAGGCCGCATGACCGAGCTGCTGCCCTGGTCTCCATGTTCACCTTCGAGGAGCTGGTGAACAACACAGGCAACACCAGCCCTGGTGTTCCAAGACTTGGTCTTCCACCGTACCAAGTATGGAGCGAGGCTCTCCATGGACTTGACCGCGCCAACTTCACAGACGAGGGCGAGTACAGCTGGGCCACCTCGTTTCCCATGCCTATCCTGACAATGTCGGCCTTGAACCGAACCTTGATCAACCAGATCGCGAGCATCATCGCGACTCAAGGACGAGCTTTCAATAACGCCGGGCGGTACGGGCTTGACGTGTATGCCCCCAATATTAACGGATTTCGATCGCCTATTTGGGGAAGAGGACAAGAGACCCCTGGAGAAGACGCTTACTGCCTGGCGTCGGCCTATGCGTATGAGTATATTACTGGTATCCAGGGCGGCGTTGATCCGGAACACCTCAAGTTGGTAGCCACTGCCAAGCATTATGCGGGCTACGATATTGAGAACTGGGACGGTCACTCGCGTCTGGGCAACGATATGAACATTACACAGCAGGACCTTTCCGAATACTATACGCCTCAGTTCCTTGTTGCAGCCAGGGACGCCAAAGTGCACAGCGTCATGTGCTCCTACAACGCGGTGAATGGGGTGCCCAGCTGCGCAAATTCGTTCTTCCTCCAAACCCTGCTCCGTGACACATTCGGCTTCGTCGAGGATGGTTATGTGTCCAGCGACTGCGACGCGGCGTACAATGTTTGGAATCCCCACGAGTTTGCGGCCAACATCACGGGGGCCGCGGCAGACTCTATCCGGGCGAGTACAGATATTGATTGCGGCACCACTTATCAATACTATTTCGGCGAAGCCTTTAACGAGCAGGAGATTGCCCGGGGAGAAATCGAAAGAGGTGTGATCCGCCTGTACAGCAACTTGGTGCGTCTCGGCTATTTCGATGGCAATGGAAGTGTGTATCGGAACCTGACTTGGAACGATGTCGTGGCTACGGATGCCTGGAATATCTCATACGAAGCCGCTGTCGAAGGTATTGTCCTGCTGAAGAACGACGGAACCTTGCCTCTCGCCAAGTCGGTCCGCAGTGTTGCATTGATTGGCCCCTGGATGAATGTGACAACCCAACTGCAGGGCAACTACTTTGGACCAGCGCCTTATCTGATTAGTCCATTGGATGCCTTCAAGAATTCTGACTTGGACGTGAACTACGCTTTCGGCACGAACATTTCGTCCGACTCCACGGACGGGTTTTCCGAGGCTTTGTCAGCTGCAAAGAAATCCGATGCCATTATCTTCGCGGGCGGAATCGACAACACCTTGGAAGCAGAAGCCATGGATCGCATGAACATCACATGGCCCGGCAATCAACTACAGCTCATCGACCAGTTGAGCCAGCTCGGCAAACCGCTGATCGTCCTCCAGATGGGCGGCGGCCAAGTCGACTCATCCTCGCTCAAGTCCAACAAGAACGTCAACTCCCTGATCTGGGGCGGATATCCCGGACAATCCGGCGGACAGGCTCTCCTGGACATTATCACCGGCAAGCGCGCCCCCGCCGGACGACTCGTAGTTACCCAGTACCCAGCCGAATACGCAACCCAATTCCCAGCTACCGACATGAACCTGCGGCCGCACGGCAATAATCCAGGCCAGACCTACATGTGGTACACCGGCACGCCCGTCTACGAGTTCGGCCACGGGCTCTTCTACACGACCTTCAGCGCCTCCCTTGCTGGCTCGGACAAGAACAAGACCTCCTTCAACATCCAAGACCTCCTCACGCAGCCCCACCCGGGCTTCGCAAACGTCGAGCAAATGCCTTTCCTCAACTTCACGGTGAAGATCACCAATACCGGCAAGGTCGCTTCCGACTACACTGCTATGCTCTTCGCCAACACCACCGCCGGCCCTGCGCCATACCCGAATAAGTGGCTCGTCGGTTTCTACCGGTTGGCGGACCTGAAACCGCACAGTTCACAGACTATGACAATCCCCGTGACTATCGACAGCGTGGCTCGCACGGATGAAGCGGGCAATCGGGTCCTCTACCCGGGGAAGTACGAGTTGGCGCTGAACAATGAGCGGTCGGTTGTTATTCGGTTTGTGCTGACGGGTGGAGAGGCTGTGGTCTTCAAGTGGCCTGTAGAGGAGCAGCAGATTTCCTCTGCATAATGGTCCAGAATATGTCTGATAGTATTTAAAATAGGAGAGTGTGGAACAAACTAGCTGTGTAAATATCAAGGGTTGCGAGGTTAAGGCATTGTATCAAGCTTCGTGGCTTTTGTGGCTTGCTTGGCGGATACTCTTTTTGAGTTTTAGCCTAATTAGAGAGTTTATATACTTTCTGATACCAAACTCTCTTCTCCCATACCATCAGCGCATTCATCTATCTACTCTCATAACAATAGACATGGCCGGAATCTGACTGCGCCGGCAATTGAATAATCACTCCCTTACCATCTGAACTAATTCATCATACTCCCCTGTATTCTTCAACATACTCCAGAAAACGCCTTTCCTCTTGATCAAATTCGCAGGTGAATCATTCCTTTCCAAAGTTAGCCCTGTGAACTAACGCACTGATAAACAAGAAAGAAAAAGGGAACATACTCAATGATCTCCCCCTCAGCCATAACGAGCACCCGGTCATAATCCATGATCGTCCGCAGCCGATGCGCAATAGCGATGATCGTCGAGTCCGGAAACATACTCCGTAGCAGCTTCTGCATGTGCATATCCGTCTCGTGGTCCACGGACGCTGTCGCCTCATCCAGCAGCACGACCTTGGAGCGGCGGCAGACCGCGCGCGCGATACTGAGGACCTGTCGCTGGCCCTGGCTGAAGTTTTCTCCGTTGGCTGCAACGGGGGTGTCGAGGGTGAGGGCGCGGGTTGTTAGCTTGTTGGTGCCTGCTTCTCTGGCGGGGCCACCATGTACTTGGATAGAGGTGCAGGCGGATAGAGCGGAGTGCAGCTCTGTCTCGCTGGCCTCACCAAATGGGTGGAGGTTTGATTGCACGTCGCCGGAGAAGAGGACGGGTTCTTGGGGGATGAGGGTGACACTTGTGCGGAGGCGATGCAGGCGGATCTGGCTGATGTCGAGGTCGTCGATTGTGATGCGGCCAGAGGTAAGATTGACGAAGCGGAGCAGGGAGAGGCCGAGGGTGCTCTTGCCGCTGCCCGTTCGGCCTACGATGCCGATGCGTTCACCGGGGTTAGCCACGAAGGAGACGTTTCGTAGGACGTCTGGTCCGTCGAGCTGATAGCGGGCCGAAACGCTGTGAAATTCCACTTTCCCGAGTGTTGGCCAGCTGGCAGGTACGGCGTCCGCTTTGGCGCGCTCCTTGTCACTTAGTTTCTCTTCGGGCTCGATCTCCGCGTATTCGCTTATTCGCTGAAACGAGTTGAGTTCGACCTCGAGTTCGTTCATCGTGCGGACCAAAGTCAAGATCGTCTGACTGAGGCCAATGGCGTTGGTCAATGAGAAGCCAACGAGGCCCGCCGACCCCGACCAGAAATACGCCACGCATCCCGCCGATGCTGCGACGGACGCTGCGCATAAATCTGATCGGACTGAAACCCAACGGTTGCAGTTGTACTGGGCCTCTGCAGAACGAGCATGAACTGCAAGCTTTTCCGCCAGTAGCTTCTGAAAAACCCCGGTCATGCCTTCTCGCGCTCGAATGACAGTCATGCCAGCCAGAGAATCGGTGAAATGAGAGAATATGGGAGAGTAGTTGATGGAACATAATCTCTTGATGGAAATTTGGGCCCGAGTGTACATCTCCCCAATGAAAAAGCCTATCGTGCAAACCACGGCGGCCGGGAGCGCAAAAATCGGCATGATCGAGGCGATACTCGCTATTCTCAGCAAGAAGCGTAGTCCATTTTCAATGGACATGCGCAGCCAATCAATCAAAACAGTATCCATTGACCTGGTGTCATTTCCAAAGCGGTTTATAGCGCGTCCAATGGGATTCTGGTCGAACCAAGAGATCGGGGCAGAAAGTACCGCTTCCACCAGTTTCCTGTGCATCTTCTTGGCGGCCGTCCAGCTCCCATATTGATATAGAAGATTGTTCGTGATTTGAAGGAGCAGGAACGAAATTATCGCCGCGGCATACACGGCTAAGTAGAACAGTGAGTTAGGATGTTCGTATTTCTCATACGCGCTTGTCCAAATAGACAGCCAGTATGTGATTGAGAAGTATGCAAATTGCACTGTGACGGTTGCTAGCAGCACGGCTATCGCATAGGAGATTCCACCGAACAACAGCATATAACGCAAAACTGGAAGAAACATTAGCGTCGATGGTTCCATTACTTAGCTGGCGTAGACTCACATAATGTACGTGGCACGCGACCTGTAGCTGACATTTCTTTGACAATGCGATCTGTCTGTACAGATTGGTCTGCGCGAACGTTGGGAGAGACATTGATGGTGGCTTCTGATTCGGTAGAAGACCCTTCTGCAATTGTTGGAGAACCACAGATTGCTGCGTCTTGTTCTTCCCCTTCGGCGGGGTCTGGTACACTCTGTGTGTACGCCTTGGAGGACTCAGAAGCAGGTTCAACTACGGAAGCCCTGCCATGGTTGAGCTGAACAATTTGATCAGCGTCTTTCAAGGCAGCTGGCAGATGCGTGACAAGTACAACTGTCCTGTCTGCTAACAGACCACTGCGAAAACACTTGTCATAAACCAAGGTGGTTGTATGTGTATCTAATGCGGAAAATATGTCATCCAAGAGCAATGTAGATGATCTCGAATACAGTGCCCTGGCGAGAGAGACACGTTGCTTCTGACCACCTGACAGCGACGTGCCTCTCTCACCCACTAGAGTGAGATCACCAGCGGGAAGCTGCTGAAGATCCTGGATAAGACCACTGGCTTCAATGACGGTATTGTAACGGGCCTCATCAAAGGAGCTGTAAAATATTACGTTCTGTCGAATGGTGTCATTCTGCAGCCACGGCGACTGTGGTACATAAGCCACATCCTGAGGGCAGGTAGCAGTTCCAGACTCCAGTACAGTCTCGCCTAACAACGACAGCAGTAGAGAAGTTTTCCCACTCCCAGTTGGGCCTGCCACGACATTGAGGGCATTGCGCTTGAAAGAAACTGAGACGTCGTGTAAGCGGAAATCTGCGATTGGTGTTCGCCGGAAAGTTGCGTGTTTGAGCTCCAACGGTCCGTCTGGATGACGTTTGATCTCGCCTGCTGTGTCAAAAAAGTGATCCACTCGACGAAGCGACTCCGCACCCTGGGCCGAATATCTGCTGATATTTGAAAGCCAGACGAACTGAGAACGCAGTGTCTCCATGATTGACAAAGATGTGAAGGCAACCGGAGCCCTCAAAGGACGGTCCGTAAATAACACTACAACAGTGAACATGACAAGCAAGCTCATCATAGGTAATAGATCACCTGCCATAGAAATGGCAGCGGCAAAGACACTTCGCCTCCAGAGACGTCGTTGCTCCACGCTTCTGATCTCATTGATGGAAGCCACGGCGGCTGGCTCCCATCCGAAGAACTTAAGGGTTCGAATGGAATTCAAGTACTCTGAAATCCTGGCAAGACGGACATCAGTTGCCCTCATCACGGATTGCTGGATGCGTGAGACCCTGCGTGATGCCAGAGCCGGAAGCGGAGTCAAACAGCACAGCGTCAGGACGCCGAATAAGGATGGCCACCCGAGCATCCGATAGAGGAAGACCATGGCAATGGTAGTGGATATCGGCACCGCAGTAGCTACGTAAAAGATGTCCCGGGAATTGTATATAGCATCAACATCGTATGACATCAGACTTGTCAGATTAGCTTGGCTAGATTTCGATGTGCGCTTCGGGGTATGTGCCTTGTGTCTCGCCGACTCCTGAGGGCGTGGTCTGCCATGCGGATGTACAGAATCATCGTAGATATACGATCGCATAGCGGTGTGATAAATCTCCTGCACAAGCGAGATATTGACGCGGACAAGGAGCCTTGTGGCTGTAAAGATGTATTGTTGATAGCAAAAAGACCGCATCATTGGACCAATGAATAGCAGACAAATCCAGAGCGCAGGATGCACGACTGCGCCAGTCGGGTCTTCCAAGTATGCCAGCAACCGCAGCATGGAAAATGGAGCGAAGAAATCTGCCATAGAAGTAGTCGCAGCCCAGCAAACCATACGTTTAATCTCCGTCTTCAACAGTCTGCACAGAGTGCGAAATGTTTTCCCGCCTTTTTGGCGCTGCTTCTTGATCTTCTCCAGCCACTTCAGTGGCTCGTCATATGAGGGAAGCGGCGGCAAGTCATTCATCGTCAGATCTCTCTGGCAGCCACGAAAGATCACATATGTGATCCACTCATAGGAGCAATAGTATGAGAACAAAGAACACGTTTCCTCCGGCGAAACATCCGCCTTCACCTGGGCATCATGGATTTCGGCATCCGAGATCAAGGGACGGGGCCGAGGACTCGCAAGCACAATTACCAGCATAGCAGCCACGCAGGCTAGTGAGGCACTTGCAAGAGCAGTTGGACGATAGGTCGAGCCAACAATCGCCATTGGGACAAGATCCTTCACAATTGCTAGAGACAAAGCCACTAAGGTCATCATGTTCAAGTGGCGATAGAAATGAATCCAGTGAATAACCCCCTGAAAACAAAGCCTTGCGACAGCCAATAATAAAATGTAGCCGAAGAATATTAACTGTTTCCAGTCTGCTCTGCGATATGATTCACCCAAACTCAGACCACAAGCCGCCATCGCAGCCGCCAGGTGCGCAAGAGCAAAGGGTACGGGGACAATTGTCTCTGGAACGGCAGAGGTAGTATCCAAGCGGCCACGAGACTTCTTCTTGAAAACCCAAACAGCATAATGAAGACATGTTGATAGGATTATTACGAGGCATGAAGCAGAGACCGCCCCGAGGTGCAGGTTTCCATTGGCCACGAAGGCGGACAGTTTCTGTGTCCGATATTGCCAGAGAGCTCTGGATTCTTGCATCAGTTTCAGGCAATTACTAGGACACAGAAATTAGACAAACCTTTGCACTTGACCGCTGTCCTCAAAAGCAGAGATATCTCCGCCCACAAACTGCGATGTCATAGGAGCTAGGACATACTGCGAAACCCCAGGCAAAAGCTCCATTGCGGACGACTGCGACACGCGAAAGCACAAGCTTGCCTAGTTTGTTGAGCTTCACTACTTGACAAACATCAAGCTTGGCTTTCTGGTGACAAAACCAAAATCCCGGTGAGACTGTAGTGACTGACCGCTAAGCGTCTGCCATATGAGGTTAATTTAATGCTCTTCAACCCTGTATCGACAAACTGATGATTTATCCATCGTACAAGTAGCCGCAGCACGGCACAGCTTCCGATACTAGCCAATGGTTTAAACCGGATCGAAAAGCAAAGAAGATAAGCAATCGAATAGCGCAATGGCTGGCTGCAATACAACCTGCAGCTTGACCGGAGAAGAAGATTTGGCGGATGTCTCCGACCACTCAAAGGACGGGGAAGAGTCGTTGGGTCGGAAAAACCACAAACGGGCATCCACAATTGCAACCCTTTTAACTCTGGAACGGGTCGAATGATGAGTCTGCGGCTCCGTTGGAAGCCGCAAACTCTTGAATCGAAGAAAGATAAAAGACTGAGACTGAGAGGAGGAAAAAGTGGACGGACTCACTGGCGACTACCGACAGCAGAGGCCTTAATGAGCGTGCTTTCCAAGACCGGATATTTATCCTTTGCTAACACCAATGATGATCGGTCATAACATATACAGTAGACCGCTGACTGCCTATCTACCCAAGACCCCTGATGAAACAAGCTTTGGAAGAACAAAAGAGAGCCATGAACCGAGAAAATACTGGACAGCACCGCCCGATGACACCATCAGGACCCGTCTATTGGTGATGCACCGTTTCGATAGAGCCACAGCCGGCTAAGCTCCTTGACCTTCATCTTCCTCCTGAAAGAGCCATCTGACTGGAGTAATGAGACATTTGCGTTCATCTCATCATATGGAATGTCAATGTCGTGATGGTCAACCCTGTCTTCAGTACCTGTCCCGTCTGCTTTTAGCCTATGTAAGTCATCTGGTTGGACTTCCACTTCCATCTCCATGAAATCGTTCGTGTCCAGGGTCTTCATATCCTTCCCTAACGTGAACATGGTATCCAGATGGTGCTGGATGAATTGATGACCGGAACCAGGCCGCACAAAGACTCGTCCCATGTATCGATTAGGTATATTGGCAAAGTTCAATATTCCCCAGACGCTAACAAAGTCCTTGGAGTTTGCATAGTGCTCAATTCGACGAATGGTCTTTGTCCCTATTGTTGCCGGGCTGACTTGTGGAGTTTCGCCTTCAGCTTCATTCCGATGAGCTTGAGACAATGATTTAAACGGATTGTTGAAATGGTTCGCCGCGTTACCAAAGGTATAAACCTCGAGATCCTGCAGCAACTCTCGAGGCATCTCATCCAGAAGCCAGTCAATGACCAAGCCTCCCTCAATTCCACTTTGGCTGTGAAGAATAAGGATCACCTTCTTGTATTTTGGATTCAACAAGTCTTCCTTGATGATCGCATACGCATCCCTCACGTCCGAGGTGGCGTAGGAGAAATTCCTTTGGATCAAGCACTCGATGATATCGAAAACGATCCCCGTTCTACAATTTTTTTTGAATCTGAGTCACCCAAAGTCAAACTGATGTTAGAAGCGGCATAGAGAACCTACGTTGGATTGTGAACACCGGTAATATTTCTGCCGAATGTATATGCCAGCCGGTCAAGATTGCTCTGCAGCCAGTGATGTCTTAAAGCAGTCAGATGAGTTGCATGATCTCTGACGGGATATTCGAGGGCTCACCCGGCTCCGACTCCATTAATGAAGACCCAGTGCTCACGGTCGTGTTCCGGACGATGTTCGACAGGCACTTGCGACTGCAAAATCCTGGCACTCCCATTCAAGGCAAATCGGCAGACTACCCAATTCAAAGTCAAAGCGACTGTCATATAAATTCCGATCCCCAGCGCGGGAAAGGCAAGAATAAACAGTACAGGCAGCGACAAGAGAAAGATGAGCTGATAGACAGCTAGAAATATATGTACGACGATGTCCCATAAATTCTCCTTGGACGGATAGAGTTCGTCCAAGGCTCCAGAGTTCCATGGCGTCAAGGGTAGTATTATGCCTGGCAGGCTCCAGAGACTCCGTAGGAAAAGAAGGATGTCAGCCCACAGCAATTTCCATGGCGATGCTGTGTATGGTAAGGGCACATCCTGTTTCTTTCTGGACTGGGAGGGAAGATACGTGACGCCCATACTCGGGATGAGTATGTCCTTGATAGTATGTTTCTGTTCATAAAGCGAAATGTGACTGATCGTGGACTCGGGAGTAACGACAGTATCGAGGGTATTCATATGTTATTTGTTTTGTCCAACGGAAGGTTAAGCGCGCACGGCCTCGTGATGCGATCATCTACACACACATTCCAGCTGTGTTCATAGGCTGAAGGCTTGGCTGCCCTACCACGCTCAAGTCAGAACAACATACCCTGGTCAACGGTCGTTTGTCCTTCCAAAAGCGATCGAGCTTTCAATCTGCAAGACATTTTTAGCATGTCTCTCTCAGTGATGGTGCTGACTCGGATGTCTCACAAGATATGTTCTTCCCCATTTGGAGATATATATTGCGCAACTCAGTCACAGCGGCTAAGCGAAAGAACCACAACAAAGAAATGATGGGCGCGGATATGTCTCTATATCTCAATCCCTCACGGCGTGCTCTTTGTTGACGTTGTCTTAGACACTTCTTTGACCAGTACAAGCCCGAGCAGAGACAATGGCATTGATAGCAGAAAGCCTTTGTCTTGAGGCTTTTCTGACAAGTATAAAATGGCTTCACTGTACCATGCTCACCTTTGGAAACCATCTTCTCATTATCGACCAACTTCAACATCATCAACTGCTTCTTCACCATCATCACCAGAACTTCAACCTTTTTCCTTACCCAACAACAGCATCTTACACATACCGACACCAGAGGAGAGAGATAACCCTGCGTGTTCTGAATTATTGTTCCCAACCAGAAGGTGCAGACGCCTGCTATATCGGGACTCCGTCAATATCGCTTGAAAGCATTATCTAAAGCTGCTTAAGAGATTGAACAAGACCGGGCCAAGATGCAGCGCGCAATTCAGATGAGGTACCCTCTGATGGCCACTGATCTCAAGAAATCCCAATTGGCAATGCTAATTCAAGTTTTGAACTTACAGCATTCCGTACACTATACCCACGACAATATGGGACGACTGCTCGAAGTGCGCAGCGAGCTGATCTACAACGCCATCAAGAGCCTCCCGTCAGAGCTTCGAAAGTCCACATTGCTCCAGATCCTGCCAAATTCCGTCATTCGTGCCGCGCAGCTGTGTCCCTCGCACCAGGGATTCAATCCCTATGTCATTGCGAACATTTGCAGCCTGACCAGAAAGGAAGTCACCGAGCACCTGGACGTCATCGACTGGTACTCGGACAACCTCGACCAAAGCCATGTCAGGCTCATCCGCGCGCTGCAATCCATGCAAGGCATGTGGTCTCTGGTCCCGTTGGGTACTCGTCCTCCACCGATAGCTCCGGCACCTTACCAGGAGAACAGATGCGAGGCATGTATCCTGGCAAGGGTAGTCCAGGAGCCGATGTTCCTGCAGAACCTGCGCGTCGCACTCATCAGTCGGACTAGAACTAGATCCAAACATCGCGCGCCTAGGCTGCTGGCGTTTATCGACCAGGCTATCAATTTTTACGGGGACCGTGCCCTGCAGTACTGGCATGCAAGCGGTCAAGCGGCGTTTGATTTCAAGGCCGCCAGAAAAGCGGCCGTGAGAGCGTACAAGAAGCGCCCGGAGCGCATCCATCGCCGCGAGGACTACACTGATCACCTGCGCAAGCACCCGAAAAACAAAGGCAAGTCTATCAGACTGGAGCCGGAACAGCCGGGGGCAGCTGGGTTCGCAGGTGCATTCAGCCCTACAACGAGTCGACGCAGTGATGATGTGGATATGCAATCCATCGTCGTCTACATGGACCACAGCACCGCCGAGCAGCAAGGCTTATACCGAAAACGCAGCCAAAGAGCGAAGGTGCACTCTCACCGCGCAGAAATCGTCGATGAACGGGACACGATCGCCGACGAGATCATCGCGACCTACGAAGCCTTCGGAGCCAGAGACTGGGCACCCCGTTCCACCACGGACCTGCCCGCCGGAGTGCCGCCTGTTCATCCCCTATCCGTCCCCAGGGCCGATCACTCGGCGATCTCAGCATCCCACTACGATGGGGACCACCCAATGGGCGAAGCGAGCTACATGCCTCCGCGCAAGAACTCCAACTGGCAGAGTGCTGGTAACGGAGCCGCACTCGGTACATTGGAAGCTCTGTCGAAGGAGGTCGAGGGCCTGACGCTTGGAGGACGCCCGGGCGAGAACACCGAAGAGCTTGCGGGCCGATACTGTGATCTGCTTAGCCCTGTGGCGTATCACTCTGACTCGGAATACAGCGAGGCATCTTGGGAGGATGCCCCCGTGCGTGAGGCTGGGCCTGGAGACACCACCTGGGACCTTGTGTGCAAAGAGAGCTATTGAGAGCTTTTTTCGAGTCAGTAACTGGGACAGTGCCCGAGATGTGTCATGCGGTGAGTGCTCGGATAATTCAGGAAAGAGGGAAGCATTGGAGGAATTGAGAACTTTTGCCGGGAATGAGTATGAGGACGATTGGGAGTTGATTTTTTGGGGTTGTCCCAAGGAAAATTGAAGGATGCACATCGAAAGCAAGAGAGATGAGAGGACTCGGGAGAATGTTTGAAGTTTTGTTTCGACTGCAGTTTCAGAGTTTGGGAAGTTGATTTGAGAAATATACACATTGCATTGAGTAAAGATATTCATCAAAGAAAGCTCATGATACAGGCCAAAAAGACCAAGAATGCATGGTCCACATATTAGTACAGTATGATTCAGTACAACGTAAAGAATGGTTAAGAATAACCTCTTTCGCATCGATCGAAGACGTCCAGCAGCTTCAGTTCTTCCATGCGTGAGTTAAAAGACGTAAAAGTATTATAAACTTAGTAATGCAGATTCCGAAATGGATGGTAAATAATCAGGCCTGAAGGACACTGCTGGTCACTCCATGATTGACGCCCTTTAGCCCGTCGACATGGGGAGACAAAGTTACAGTTTTTCGGCGCAACCGTGCTCGTGCGTTGGAGTCGGCTGGCGCGTCCGGCGAGACGACCGGGCCATCATACGAACTCTCTTCATTTGAAGATGCTGCAGCTGAAGAGGCATCCTGATCGAGTTGTTTCTGTGCCGCCTCTCGAGATCTTTCGTAGCGCAGTTTGACGTCACCCTCCCACTTAGTATTAAAAAGACGATCCCAAAAAGTGAAGAATGGTTGAGAGAAATTCGTCTTGATACCCCAGCTTTGATGGTGAACGTCGTGATAGGCAGCATTATTGTGAGTAAAGTGTTGCAAAGGATCCCAGGGGAAAGCATAGCCGCAATGATCGTCCACAGTCTTGATAGTGGAGCACGTGAAGAACCACATGGCCTGACGGTTCGTCATGCGCGTTGCCAGAAACGCAATGCCAGCACCAGCGGTATCAAGAAGGAAGCCTTCCACCGGGTGATTATAGAGGGCGCCGAAAGCGTACGGGACATAAAGACGATGGTGACGAGAGTGGAAAGTGACTGTAAAATGTCAGTCGCGTCTCCAAGAAGTGCTTCAAAAGTATCAGGGACGGAACAAAGCATCAGCGTACATACCGTAAAGCCAGCGGTTCAGATGCATCGCACGGTGGAGGAAATATTGCCAAGTATCGACGATAAACACTCCCACTGTGAACTGTACCGCAGGGATAAAGTACCAGTAGATGAAACTGGCCATTGACAGCTCCCAATTGGTGAAAGCAGGTACGACCGCTTCAATACCGCTGTCCAGAACAAAAGACCGAGTAACTCCGGGGTATTGTCCGCCAGCTAGTACACCAGCTAGAGCCGCATGACCGTTTTGAGATAGGCTGCGTGATAGGCCCAGAGCATCGACCCCGAACACAGCCAACAGACGGGGGATTGCCTTTTGAGCAAACCGAAGGCGGCGAGCCCACACGGCAATATCGTACTCCTCTTTTCCGATGTATTCCACGTCGTCAAAATAGCCTAGCGCCATACCAACCAGCGTTTGGATAACCTGTTGTAGAATGACATCTCTGACCACATCCCAGCGCGAGACCTTATTCCGCTTCAAAACCTCGGCCGGAGTGTGCAGACGATACTGTGGGAAAAGATCGTAGACATCGATGAAATGGTAAACCATAGATAACCCCCAATATGCGACAATTGGCAGAATCAGAGCAAGAATGTTGTCTGGAATTGGCGCAAGAAGAGGAGGACGGGGCGTCAAAGAGTAGCTCGGCAGAGGAGGGTAGTCATACTCGATGGATGCGTTGACTGCCATGGCTTGACTGTTAGGGCGTCAACGCCAGAATGCGTAGATGAGGAGAATGGGCGCAATGTGATGAATCCGAGAGATCAACGCATGGGTCTGCGAGATCAGGCAACGAGGGCGGAGGTTGCAGCGATGGCCGTCAGGAGCAAGTTGCCGATACGTTTAGGTGAAGCCCGGAGATACCGGAAAGAACCGTGGAAACAAGCGTACGGAAGGCCGAATTTTCGAGGATGCGAAGAGCTTGATAGGAGGATAGGAAATGATGTCGAAAGAATCAACAAGTTGTTCGAAGTCCTTTTTCCTCAAAAGCGGTCCGCCACAGTCAGGGGACGCGCTGCAATAGGCACAACTACCACCGGAGCGTGGATGCTGAGTCAATTGACCGATTCGGGCGAGGAAGGGACTTAGAAATCAATGTTCACCTCAGTCAAGAATCGAACAGCTCTTAAAAATATGGAATAATAAGAACCGGAGCAGGTGCAGAGATTTGGAGAACAGGAAAAAGGGCCCTAGCAGTCCATCACGATAAGTAGTAGATCGTCAAGTGGCACCACAAGAACTCAGATCCGGGCCGCCGACTTATCTAATCAACGGGAGATCAGATGCTGGGTAAAAATGTATTGTACGATACGCCAATTTATACAGCGCCGAGGCAGAAACCCCAGTGTAACTTATGTACTGTAATTACCATAACATACCGCTCAGTCAGGAGATGCCCCTGATTGTCTTGATCCTTGAGGCAGTCAAACCACACTCTACAGTGCTACACTCTGGCCTGAGTTGTGGATCGATCTAGAGACTGCTATAGAGTCTATCCCCATAGACTATCTCGATCTTGCCCAAATTCAGGATAAACTGTTCTGGCGTGGCAATTCTAGGTACTTGGTGTTCCCATCTGTCAACTGCTGGGCCAGACAAGTCCACCAGTCCCAAACAGGCCTAGCTCTATTTTGCCCCTCGAGAATCGTAAGTAGGTGAAAAAAAAAGAACCCCACCAAAAGTTGGAACGGGCGCCACTAAAAACTTCTATTTTACCCCCTCTTTGGGTTCTTTTCCAGCTACTGTTTTCTTCTCTTCCTTCTTCTCTTGATCTGTCCAGCCGTGTGCCATTCTTCTCTATCCTCATCCTTTCTTCTTTCGTTGTGAAGTTTTTCTCTCTTCACATAATTCAAAATGATCATTTACAAGGTATGTACCTTTGCTTTGGATCTTACCCCACTATTTATGTCGTATAGGCGCAAGTTGCTGACGGACGTTTTTTTGCTTGTATAGGATATCATCTCTGGAGACGAGGTTCTCTCTGACAACTTCAAGATCAAGGAGGTCGACGGTGTCCTCTACGAGTGCGACTGCCGCAAGTACCTCAAGCGGAAGAACGAGGACGTCCAGCTCGAGGGTGCTAACCCCTCCGCTGAGGGTGGTGATGAGGATGCCGGCGGTGAGGGTGAGGAGGTCATGGTTCACGACATTGAGGATCAGTTCCGTCTCGTTTGGCTGAAGACCGAGGAGGGCATGAAGCCTTCCAAGGATGCCTTCAAGAGCCACCTGAAGGGTATGTCGCCCATCTTGAGTCTACCATTTCTGGCATTTCAAGCAGTCTCGCTAACACTGGGTATCTAGTCTACATGAAGAAGGTTCTCGGCAAGCTTCAGGAGAAGGGTGCTCCCGAGGCGGAGATCGAGGCTTTCAAGAAGGGTGCCCCCGGCGCCGTCAAGAAGATCCTTGCCAACTATGACAACTACGATGTCCTTATGGGCCACTCCATGGACGGTGATGCTATGTATGTTATATCCTCTGTGATGAAACAGATAATCATTTACTAACCGATTACTAGGCACGTCCTGATTGACTTCCGTGAGGACGGTGTCACTCCCTTCGCCACTCTCTGGAAGCACGGTCTCGAGGAGATGAAGGTTTAAATGATCTGCAGTTATGAAGAATATCATGATCCAAAATTAGGGAATTGGAGTCTGCGGTTGTTTCTAATTCAAGCCTACTGATGAGATTCAGTGTTATTTGCCTGATCTCTCTGAAGTTTATACCACGCATCCAGCTATCTTTCTGTTATAGCTCCTCTACACCGCATCTTCCATATCCTTCCAATATAGTTACGCCTCATGAATCCCATATCTGTTATGTCCCATTGGCCTCTCGGCTGCTTGAAAATAGAATCATATCTCTACCTTTTAAGCGTCAATCGTTATCATGAATTTTTTCATATATACAACAATAAGTTCTGAGGGTATGTACGTGTAACGGTGAATACCGACAGTAGACACGCCAATCTATCCGCATAATCAGCAATACGAGAACCACTCCGGATCTCGCCCATCACTCATCCCCGCATCAGTGTCCCCAGCACTCGTATTGCCGCCAACATCCCTAGTATTCGCGAGATTGGCAAACTCGAATCCAGAGACTGGATCGAGCTCCATCAACTCATCTGCAACGGGAAGATGCTGACCAAAGACTGCATCCCACTCCGCCCAGTCGAAGTTCAGATTCGGATCGACCATGCTTGGCGGCGTAGGCGCTGCTCGTGGTTGTGAGGTCGGCAAGGACATATCAATATAAGGCAAGGCGGCTGAGGACAATGTGAGGGCGGGCTGAGTGAACGGGTTAGTCGAGGTGAACGGTGGTATACTTTCCGGAGGAGAAATAGCCGAGCCAGTGAATGTGGGTTCGACCGTGGGGATGGCTGTTGCAGGGGACGTAGAGAATCGGGGAGTAGAAACCACCCGGGGAGTTGCAGGCACTGCACTTGGCACAGGAGGGGGTAGTTGGTATCGCAGGGGACTGGGCCGTGGGGCTAGATGAGAGCGTGTCATGTTGTAGAACATTTTCGAGAAATCTGTCAGCTGCTTTCGCGAGGTCAGTGGTGTAATAGTGGACGGGTTGCCGGACGCTTGATTTGGGTATGAGTTGGAGACCGGGGAGTATTCGGGAGGTGTGGAGGGAACGCCAGCTCGGATCTGAGCCTGTTCAGTCCATAATCTCTGGGGATCCAGGCCTGCTTTTTGCCACGCCTTCTGACGCAGCCTTCGGATCATATCCCATGCTTCGCGGCCTCCGTCTTTCAAAGGTCGCTGAGTCGTGATGCCGTCCTCTCCGCCGACGACACCACCATCAGGACCTGAAAGTGAGAATATCTTGTCGATGAATGCCCGTGACTTGGAAGCCTCGGAGCTATACGGTCGTTCGTAGAGATCGATCAACATGATCATGGTTGCGTGCATCGGCTGATGATTGCCGGGCCAGCTCCATTGGAAGGGCTGGAAGTCTGGATCGGTGGCCAGGGATATAAACTTCTCCATAAAGCCGTGGCAGTGGCGGAGCGCGCTATCTTCATCAGAACCTTTCAATATAGCCTTCAAAGGCGTCATCAGACTCACCTTTGTCTAGCCGTCGGCCAGATACGGCTTTTGGCGTTCTTGAGAAATGGCTGATAAGCAACACAAAATGCCTGTCAGGGGCTTGTTAACCATTACTTCCAATGATGTCGACTTTCGCACCTTACCTTATCAACGAAAAGCGAGAGAAGTATTCTCGCCCACTTGTGAAAGGCTACGAGAACATGAGAATGATATTGTTCTGAACATCCATGTGGGCCGTCACCAGGTAGTTCGGTTTCACCGGATCGAGCCTCAACAGGGGAGCGGGATGCGAAGGATCGTGATCTGTCCGAGTTAAGCGAGTGAATCTCTTGGTTCTTCGCTTCGGGAATTCTGTTGATGATCGAATTCAGTTTGAGTTGGAGATCGACCAATATGGAACGAAGTTCCTCCATATCTCTTCGTGTGACAGGCTCAGTGCCCAATTGGATCTTCATTATACGACGGACAGCACCTTGAAATGTTAAGTCAGCCATCTGGCCAGTAAGCAAGGCGTTGGAAGTCACTTACGAGCCATGACATATTTGCCCCGTGCTGACAGATAGTACACGTTTACCATTGATGATCCGCCGCAGATCGTCGGATCATCTGGGTTATCTCGTGGCCGCAGACCAGCAGCCACCAATCTCTCATACTGTTCGGCTTCGGCAGTGCCCAGGAGTGTGTCTTTGACTTCACTGGTCTCCTGTACATCCCAGTACTTCTCGTCACTGACAAGAGGTGGAAGTCCACTTGACATGGCGACAACACCATCCATATGCACAATATGCCACCATATCCGGCGACGATACTCTGCTTCGCAAGGTTCAATGCCGAAGTTAGCAGGGTCCCGATGCAGGCCCATTGTTTGTGCGACTCGCATAGAGAGACTAATGAATAAACTGCTCGTTAAAGGTTCTTCCTCTCTGGAGAGAATTGTCTGTACTAGAAGATAGGCAGCAAGGCCCTGTAATGATGGGCTTCGAGGAAAGGATATCTCGGTCAACCACCTTGTAACCTCGTCGTTGTAGGTCTTAGAAAGCGCAGAACGTGATGAGGCATTAAACTCAGCCTTGATCGTCCGTATTGAGATCGTGACTGAGCCGCCATACCAGATAGCGTAGAGTAGCGGGATAAAAGACGGATCTGGACAGGGCTCCCCGGAGTAGCTGCTATAATCATACCAATCCCAGAAAGCATTATACAGTTTCAGGATAGTAGGTGGGTGAATGACTGGACTTATGGCATGTATTCCAGACATGAAGCCTTTGTAGAGTATATGGCTTTGTCGTTTAGTAGGAATGTGGTCAAGCATATCGGGCTCGACCACCTTGTCTTTGACGGACGGCGACTCGCTCGAGGGGAACAAGATGGTCTTCTGAAAGGTCTCTCCACGGGAGAGCCTGTCTCCAACCATCGCATCGGGGCTTTCCTCTGATATCGAGCTCTTCCACTGACGGCCGGGCGTCCTGACCACCTCATCACTATAGTTTTCGTTGCGTGCGGGCTCGTGTGAGCGATTCTGGTCTCTGAGCAATTGATTGAGCTCATTGATCTGCTTTTTCTCAGCTTGCGGCCCTAAGGCTAGATTACATTACTCCGAGAATCAAAGCATACCTCTTGGGAGATATAAGCCCAATAAGTCGTCCCAACATATCTAGTGTTTGTTTAGCCGAGCGTCCAGCCGCCCACATCTTCCGCGCATAACTTACCTCGACCTCCCGCCGTCTTCCAAACTTAGATGGCCTAGATTCAAGCTACCGACCGGGTCGACCAGGTCAGTTGCATGACCAGCAGGTATAGGGAATTCGTCTCCACTTGAGTCGACGCCGCGACGAGGACTGTCAGACCGCGAATTGGCAGAGGACCTCGGTTGTGCACTGTTTGCTTGTCTAATCTCAGCGCTCATGGCCTCCATGCTCGCCCGTTGTTCCAGCAGCTGTCGCTCCATCTGCTCCCGCGGCTGATCCGTCTTGCTCAATCGCTCTATCATCGAAGCCAACTTGTCTAGCCGAGCCTCAATCGCCTGCGATCCGAACTTCTTCCCGTCAGAGTGCTCCGCCGGCCTCGGCCGGCCCTGCACCAACTTTATATCATCGGCATCCTGGTCGAGCGGTCGAGAAGCCTCTCTTCGCCTCTTCACGCCATGCGCACTCTTGTCTTGACCGCTGCGCGAGGCAGCGTCTTTCTGTAGCGTCGCATCGTAAACGCACTCAGTTCCGTTCTTCGCGCAGCTTCCGCAGATTGGATGGACCTTTTTCACTTTTAGCATGGTCTCCAAATGACAACACTGTAAGCGACGACAACCGAGGCGCATACCTTGTCGCATTTCACCTTTCGCCTCCGACAGGTATGGCAACTGTAGCTCGCGCGGTTCCGAGTAATCTGGCGGCCCGCCGCACGACGACTTTTGCCTGTCGTAGTTGTGCTCGGCGCAGGAGAACAAAACAATGGCCGAGGAGAGTCGTAGTTGGATCGAAGCTGAGGCTTGGGCCCCGAACTCGGGGACCCGTAGCTGGGCAGGCTTCTCGTGGGGTCTGCGTTCATGATCCCTCGGTCGGGGAATGGCGGGGTCGTCAGTTCAATCCATTAACGCGTCAGGGCCTCGGAATGCTGCACGCGACTTGACATCCGCAGCGCAAATGTTCGTTAAGGTACATAAGGTTTCGAATCACGGATCGGATGGTTTGTTGAAAATTAGTACGAACTACGGATCTGGGGAGATGACGCCTCCGGGGTAAATGTTGGTTATCGGAGACCTCCAGCCAATGACCATTGCGGTGTATGAAGTTGCTGGCTTTAACCATTCTAGACCTGCTTCAATTACGGTTCGCAAAAAGATAGCTTACAGGGCAGAATTGAATGCCAATCGGGGAGGAGAATTCTATTGTAATCTTCCCTGGAGAGAATTAAGCTGTCATGAATTCATGAATTTGTACCAGAGAACAGCATAAATGGAAAATGCCGTCTAGTCACCCACCGCACAACGCCTTTCGCCCATGCAATGCACCCAGAAGAGTAATAGATACAAGAATCAGATAGGTGACGGTGTATATAAAGTTCTCGACATCAGGCCTTGCCCTTCTTCTTATCCTTCTTCTTCTTTTCGCTACCACTCGCTGACGGTTCGCCCATCATGCCAGCAAGATTGGGCATACCAGGGATCTGAGGCATGCCAGGCATTCCTCCCATGCTCTGCATCTCAGCCATGGCATCTTTGAGAGGGTTATCGCTAACACCTCCACCACTGTAAGCGGGAGAATGGATCGGGAGAATCTTTCCGATCTTCCAGCCTCGGGGGGCTGGAGGAGCACCAGGAAGCTTCTCAGGCATCGGGAGGCCTTTGATCCTCAGACGGTAGGGTGATTCTTCGGTCGTGGGGTGAGCTTTGAGATACTGCGCAACGAGGATATAGAGATGATGCTCTACAGCCAGTTAGTCTTTAATTCGCGATCTGCCAGAGCGTGGAGAAAGGAATCGGAAAGCAGCCAGGGGCAAAGCACGTACTGTTCTTGATCTTAGGATTGACGAGGTTGCCATCCTCGTCC